GCGAGACGACGCACTCCTGTCTGCCCAGATCTTAATGAATAGCCAGGAAAATAAAGTTTAAATGTAAAGATGCAGAAAGAGACCTCAGCATGCGTCGACGTGAAGGCATTATGAGAAATATAACAATGCACTTCACGCTTTCCATGCAGCTGTTATTATCGATAATAAAACTAAAACTAAAACTATTACAACTCTCTTTGTTAATTGAAATAAAGCTTAATATATTTAAAAGGAAAAAAGATTAATTTATCTTTGTGACTGACTGAAATACGTTGAATAAAGACTAAAACTAAAACTATTAAAACTATTTTGTTAATTAAAATAAAGCTAAAAAATGTAATATAAATATTAGGCAAAGAAACTAAAACTAATAAAACATTTTTTGTTAACTGAAATAAAACTGAACAAAATAAAATATATATATTAGATGAAAAATAGAACTTTTCCTTGGTGACTAACTGAAACAAGCTGAATAAAATTTAAAACTAAACTAAGACAAAATTAATAAATTATATATATCAGGTGAAAGACTTCAATTAAAAAAGAAATGGTGCCTAGCTGACATAAACTCAACTAAAACTGACTCTATTTAAAAACATTTTTATTAACAGAAAAAAGCTGAAACAAACTATAAACTTTATATTGAAATAAGTTGAATAAAAACTAAAACACAGCTAAATTAAAATCGTTAAAAAAAAATTAGTAAAGCATTAGAATAAAGCTGAAAAATATTTGACAACAAATGGAAAACCTAAAAAAAACTAAAATGGAACTAAAATTAAATAAATTAAATTATTACATAAAATTAAATTAAATAAAAATTATTTAAAAAAAATTGTGAAAAAACAAAGATGAAAAAAATGAAATATAAATATTAGATAAAAATAGAAATGTTGCCTTGGCAACTTACTGGTGAAAAATTAGTTGAAACACTAAAATTGCCATAAAAAATTAGTTATAGCACATTTAATACACAATGGTAATTCAAAGTGCTTTATATAAAAATTAATTAAAATAATCATAAAAATAATCACAACAATAAAAGCAAAAAATAAAAAATTTGTATTTAAAAAATGATTTAAAATGAATTAAAACAGTTAAGAATAAAATAAATAAAAACTAAAACTGAAGTAAAACCAAAACTGTCATAAATAGAAATCAAATCTAAACAGTAAAAAAAAATACTAATAAAAATGTCAAAAACACAAACAAACAAAATGACTGCAAATCAAACCGAAACTGAAAAATGAAAACTGGAAATATAAAAATAAAAGATAATGAATAATTCTACTATAAATATATATAAATCATACTAAAACAGTGCTGGTGATCAGTTCTGAAGCGACAGAGCTGGAAAACTGTGTGAAGGCCGCGACGCCAGCGCTAACTGCCTCGTGATTAGTGCAGGCGCGGGAAATAAAGGCACTTTGTGCTGAGTGAAGCGGTGCATTGTGGGAACTCACCGAAACACTTGCTCTGATTGGTGGCTCGGTCCACGAAGACTTTGGCAGAAATGACGTTGCCAAAGGGCAGAAACATCTGCATGAGCTCCGCGTCGCCGAACTCCTGCGGCAGGTGGTAAATAAACAGGTTACAGCCCTCCGGTCCTGAGAGAAAGACACACAAAGGAGATTTCACACAGAGCCGTACCCAGAAGGCCTGTTTTCAGCCGCTGAGCT